ATATATATAAAGAACAATCAATAATGATAAGTTGGATTCATATATCAAAGTAATTATTGATTATTATTAATTTCATATATATAAACGTGATCATCATCTCATTTAACTAACTTAAATAATTTTAAAAAAGTTATAGGCATCGCGCAACACGAGATGTCAAACACTAGTTCTCATTATGCACTAATATGTTCATTCAAAATAAGACAACCACACGATAATGGACACAAAGCATCACATCTACTTTTTTTATATATACATACATCTTTATTCCAATATTTTAATCACAATCCACTATTGAGAATACTCAATTTTTATGGTGTCATCTCATTCATCCTGTTGTTATATACATATACACACACACACACACACATAAGGGTAAGTTCTTTTGTTAACTCAATTTATGGTGTTCACTTTATGAACCTATCACAACCATTCATCTTGTGAATCAATAAAACAATTTTGTAATGACTAATAATATAATATGTTATCATCTAAGATGAATATATACGAACAAGTGTATTATTGGAACAAATTGATAAAGACGTGGATGTTTTGTAACTGTCCATGCGTATATTAATATTTTGTAACTGCCCATGTTTCGTAACGGCCATATGTATATTGATTGTCATTAATAAAAACAAATCTTTCTCATTATGAACATTAATATACACATGAGCATATCCTTCTTTATATGAACATGAGATCACTTATGAACATTGTGTTTGGATGTTCATATATATTCACGTGTATTATGTGCATTGTTTGGATGTTCACAAAAGTTCACTTGGTTGTTCCGTTTTTTCATATGTTAACAAACAATGAACATTGTAAGCTTATGGAAATATGTTTACTTATGAACAGTGAAAGTTATGTTCAGTCATTACTATTGTTGAATAAATCAAACCCAGTTGTTTGATTTGAAGAATGGTGTCGATTTCATATATGTTGAATATGATCACCCAAGTTTCTTATTCTATAAAACTCCAAAGCAACAATACTCTTGGAAAAACAAAATAAACATAATAATATAGCTAGAATCATGGGATAAATTTTTTTTTGTAACAACCCATTAATGCAAATGTAAGTAAGACAAAAAAAGAAAATTACCATTATATCATCAATATTAATTGCATGATGATAGATAAACCTAAGATAACGATGACTTATGTTGGTCTAAAAAGTTTGTATAGTTAATACATTTTTCATTCTTAACAAATAATTTTAGCGCTCTCTGTCTCTTTGTTTATATATATATATATATATATATATATATATATATAGG